ACGTCGGTATGAGCTGATCATTGATGTCCCATTAACAATCGACCGCGCCGCGTTAGTGGCCGTAATGCCCTGCCCGCTCTATCCCTGGGAATCGACGATAACCTCAGTAGATTGAAGAGCTCCGAACACGATCTGAAAGATTTGAGCGAGGAGTTCAGGCGTACTACGACGCCAGCGGTCTATAAATCTCAAGAAATAAATGAGAAAATTACAGTTTCTTCCAAAGTTTCCATGTGCCGAATTTGTGTGAATTGATTGAAAGGGTGAGAATTTTTATTGATTTATGATTTCACTGAAAACTCTCACTCGTGGAAACTTTGAAATGGTTTGGTTCTGTAAAAAGGTGTTGTATTGGAAAAGAAAAGAAAAAAACACGACAGTGATGCACATCATTTAATTACTTTCCTCCAAATAATTTGAATGGCAATGAACAATAGTGCGATATAGCTCCGCACGTTTTAACAGCGAAGGAAAGATAGATTGTCGTAGTCTTATGATTACTAATCCCCTAAAGGACGCAATTAGTATTACCTTCAGGGATTGTAAACAGCCTTATGATACTACAAGAGGCCTCGATCCTTGGGTTGGAACGCCGACTCCTTGAGCAAGGTCTGCAATGCTGGGACGAGTTCTTTGCACCCGCGTGCTATACCGATGATAACCGTGCGGCCGGCCTAGCCGCGTGCGACGAGTTTTGCTGACAGTCACAAGTAATGCGGGTGTTAGGTCGGCTGGTCTTAATTACACTATTGCTTTTTCCCTTTTTTAAAATTGTTTCTTTTTTTCCATTCTCCCTGTTTTTGTCTCTTTGTCGCTTTTTGAACTTCATATTTATGTCATTGGAGCAAAGATGAGATTCAATGTTTGATCGCTCTTGAATTGGTTAAAATAGATGAGTATTTGCTTTACATGTAAAAGGAGTGATTAGCGTTGGTTTTGAAATTATTGCAAGATATCCTTCTTCTACAGAAAATTGTTAAGGGATTTTCTTGTTTGTTTGGTGAAAACCAATGCAGCAGAGATACGACAGAATTGAGAATTTTAGCATCTGTGTTTAGAAGAGCAATGTAGCTGGCAGCAAGGTTTTAGAAACTACGACAGGTTCACTGAAGGAAGGGTAGTTTTAACCAATGTTCAAAAAATTATGAGCTGTGACAATTATCGTAGAGATTTTTTTGAATGTCTCACTTGCGGATTACGGTAGCAGCGACTTCTAGTGGAAGCGATGCTAATCTCACTTGGTGCGAAAATGTAGATTATGAATACATATTAATTTGTAATGGTAATCGGGAAGGAAATATGCAAAAATATAAAATGGAGAAAATTTCAAAAAAAACTTTATTATGGAATACGAACATTATGTTCAGAAGGCAGAAATAAGGGCGTCACAAGTGTATCTAAAGTCACCCGAAAACAAGTGAAAAAGGCAGAATAGATCGTAACACATTGAAACAATATGAGAAATATCACAAAGCAAAAGTGAAGAAAAAAGCGTCCCGTTGAAGGGAAACATATGGAATGTTGAACAAATTAGGAATGTATCAATGTGGGAATGTAAGGGAATGCTGAAGCAAGGCAATGGCAACTCGTAACAATCGATAAACAGATCAATAAACATGAAAAAATGAAAAAATAACAATTCATCACCTAGTACAAAAACAAAAATAAAAGGATGAGCACGATATAATAGCAGTGTTAAGTTCGAGAAATTGGCTGGGAACAGTATGTCGTTTGGGACTGGGCGAGAACACAGGATAGAATGTTATTGGGAAATGCTGGAGAAAGAGTTGGGACTAAAGCGCTGCGTTAGCGGTTGAGGCACTAGGATAACTAGACATGGCGAAGCGTTTAGAAAGCTAGGGAGCTTCGGGCAGTTGTTAACGCCTTGCATCGCCTTCGTCGAATGCACGAATAGATGAGTACCCCAAGGCAAACGCATGTCAGTACGAACATACCAAAGACGAGGACCGTACGCACACAAACAAGCACATCCTCGTGCGGTTCGCTTACGACGTCTGGTTGGGCGGTTATACCTTGAGTATTCGTTCGAATATAGTAATTCACATAAAACTACTCAAAATGAGAAAGAGTAATGTTACTCACCATTTCTCCAATGATCAACCTGCTTTTGAGCTCGAGTTTCCTCTTCATCCTCACGAACTCTTACCAGTGATGAGAATGCAAGTCTTTTCGGATCAATAATCTAAAGAACGAATTAGAATTCTCGAGATCTACTCCTTAAGACCTCCTTACCTTCTTAAGAAGTTGTTTCTCCTCTTCGTCATCGTCATAATCGTTGTCATCTAATCGTTCTTCAATTTGCGTTCCATTTTTGATGTGACGCACACGTCGGAAACGGAATCGTCGCATTGCTGCTTCTCGTCGTCTCCCACAGTTCATCTGGAATGACTATCAGCAGAATAGTAGTAATCCTTAAAGCTTGAATGCTGGTATTTATCAATGTTAACAGTGCAGATGCCTAAAAACCTTATGAAAAGTTAAAGTAATCTCACGTACTATAAGTTACAAAGAGAAAATATAGCGATGAACT